ACCTGGTGCCGATGAAAGAGAGCCGACGATGTCCATCCCCCACTTCATGAACGGCCACGGCGATAAAACTGAATGCAACAGCTCCCCGGGTTGATGAATCATCGGAGCATGTCTTTGGCACTTATCATATTTTTTGCACGAACACCTTCACATCTTTTTCCATATCGACCCAGTAATAGTCTGCTTTGATTACCTTTCGAACTAATGATTCGACGTCGGAGTGGTTCCCACATGTGCCTACGTGGACTTCCGTCAAAGCGTACTCGGTATCTCCCGGTCACAGACATATTGCTAGCGGACCACCAAACATTCTCCTGAGCAAGGTTCCGTCCTCGGACAAACTAAATCAGGCCACCTTTGTGCGTAGGGCCCTTGATTCCTTTGGATCTGAGGGAAGTTTCTCGGTTTTCAAATAGTCCATGTATTTATTTCTCAAATCCTAAGTTAAGCTTGTGGAGTTTATTTCGGCATGATCTTCCTCTACTACCGACCTCATGAGCTGTACGACTGCCCCCAAGTTGAGCTCGTCGTCTTTGACCGCCGATCCTAAGTTCGCAAGGGCATCGGCCTCACTATTTTGATCTCGAGGCACGTGCTGCAAAGTCCACTCTTTGAACCGATGTAATGCTACCTGTAACTTGTCTAGGTATCTTTGCATTGGGTCTTCTCTGACTTCGAACGTTCCGTTAACTTGGTTTACTACAAGGAGGGAGTCACACTTTGCTTCGATCACCTCCGCTTCCAAGACTTTGGCCAGTTCGAGACCCGCAATCATGGCCTCATATTCGGCCTCGTTGTTAGTCAATTTTACATTTCTAATAGATTGTCTAACTATGTTGCCTGTGGGTGGCTTCAAAACGATGCCAAGTTCGGACCCCTTTACGTTCGATACACTGTCCGTAAAGAGGGTCCAGATTCTCGAAGACGTTCCCGAGTTTACCAACAACTCTCTTTCGACTTCGGATATTAGGGCCGGCGTAAAGTCGGCTACGAACCAAAATTTGAGATTTAATGGTTGTTCGGGGTTGATATTCGATATCGTACCCACTGATTTCCACGGCCCATTTGGCAATCGCCCCGAGAGTTCGGGTTTATGCATTATATTTCGTAAAGGGTAGGTTGTCAGAACACATATAGGATGGCAATGAAAATATGGTTTCAGTTTTCTAGAGGCACTTAGCAACGCGAGTGCCAATTTTTCTAGGTGAGAGTATCTAGTTTCGGCCTCACCTAATGTCCTACTAACATAATAAATCGAAAATTGCGTACTTTGCTCTTCCCGGACTAGGATTCCACTTACCGCTATTTCTGATACTGCTAGATGCAAGTATAGTCGTCCGTCTCCCCTTGGCGTGTGAAACAATGGCGGGCTCGATAAGTATCGCTTAAGTTCTTCAAAGGCCCGCTGGCATTTTAGCGTCCATGTGAAGTTGTTTTTCTTTTTCAGCAACGAGAAAAATTGATGGCTTTTATTGGACGACCTCGAGATGAATCACCCTAGGGTTGCAATGCGCCCAGTTAGCCTTTGTACGACCTTCACATTATCCACTACCGTGATATCCTCGATAGCTTTGATCTTGTCGGGGTTTATCTCGATCCCTCGATTGGATACCATGAATCCGAGAAATTTACCGGACCCGACCCCGAATGCACACTTTTCTGGATTCAGCTTCATGTTGTATTTCTTCAATATACTGAAGGTTTCCTGCAAATGCTTTAAATGGTCCTCTGCTCGCAGGGACTTAACGAACATATCGTCAATATAAACTTCCATGGTCTTCCCTATTTGTTCTTCGAACATTCGGTTTACTAGTCGTTGGTAAGTGGCACCGGCTTTCTTTAATCCAAATGGCATTACGTTATAGCAGTATGTGCCATACTTAGTGATGAAAGAGGTTTTTTCTTGGTCACCCGGGTTCATCCGTATTTGGTTGTACCCGGAATAGGCATCGAGAAAATTGAGAATCTCATGGCCGGCCGTGGCATCGATCATGCGATCGATGTTAGGCAAAGGGAAAGAATCTTTGGGGCATGCTTTATTTAAATCTTTATAATCTACACACATTCTTAGTTTGTTCCCTTTCTTAGGAACTACTACTACGTTTGCTAACCATCTCGGGTATTTGACCTCCCGGATGGACCCTATTTTAAGGAGTTTAATTACCTCGTCCTTGATGAAGGCATACTTGATCTCGGACTGGGGTCTCCTTTTTTGCTTTACCGGACGAAACTTCGGGTCCAAGCTTAGTTTGTGAGTAGTGATCTCCATTGGATCCCTGTCAAGTCGAGATGGGACCAAGCAAAATAATCCATATTAGCTGTAAGAAATTGAACGAGTTTTTTCTGAGCTCGGGAGTTAACCCCGTGCCCAGGTATACCTTTCGATCGGGCAGATGTTCGATCAGCACGACCTGCTCGAGCTCTCCGACCGTCGATTTGGTAGCATCGGAATCATTGGGGGCGATAAAGAATCGAGTAACCCCATAGTCATCGTCTTCGTCAATCCCTTGCGTGTACGATTGGGTCGAGGCTGGCATCGATGATTGCTATTTGGCTTCCTGTTTCGCTTTCGAACCTAAGTCCTTTGTCGATGAGAGTGTTGATATTGGAATTACTTCATCGACGACAAACATCTCCTTTGCGGCGGGTTGTTCCCTGTTAACTGTCTTTATCCCCTATGGTGTCGGAAATTTTAATACCTGGTGAAGGGTCGAAGGCACGACCCTCATGTTGTGGATCCATGGTCTTCCGAACAGGGCGTTGTATCTCATGTCCCCATCGATTACATAAACTTGGTCTCCTGGGTGGTACCAGCTACGTTTACCGGCAATGTTATTTCTCCCTTAGTAGTTTCGCAAGCCATGTTGAATTCGTTTAGCACTCGGGTCGCAGGTACGATCTGGTCTTATAGGCCAAGTTGTTCTACGATCCTTGATTGAATGATGTTGGCCGAGATACCTGGACCAATTAGCACACGTTTAACTCGAGTTTTATTCATAAGTACAAAAATTACCAGTGCATCATTATGGGGTTGCATGATTCCTTCTACATCCTCGTCGTTGAAAGATAGAGTCTCTTCTGGTAGGTAATCCCGAGTCCGTTTTTCCCTTGTGATTGGCACTTTGGTGCATTTCATCATTGGACCTTGAGGAACATCGACCCCTCCGATAATCATATGGATGACGTGCTGGGGTTCGTCTTGTTCATTTTGTTTGTTGGAATCCCTGTTTCTGAAGTGATTTTTAGCTCGGTCAGAAATTCTCGAATGTGACCATTGTTGAACAACCGGGCTACTTCTTCCCTCAATTGTCGACAATCCTCCGTCTTATGGCCATGTGTGCCATGATATTTGCATATTTGGTTGGGATCCCTTTGTGTTGGATTAGTTTGCAAAGGTCGAGGCCACTTGGTTTCTTTGATGCGCCCGATAGCCGGTACGATGGAAGCTGCATCAACATTAAAGTTGTACTCCGATAATCGTGGCGCCTATTTGGGACCGATTGATCTATCGAAGCCGTTCTTGCTCCTGAGTCCCGGTGAGCTTGGACCTCGATCATTTCTTCTCTCATTTCGTGTAGAGTTTCGCCCAGATCCGCGGCTCATACGGTCTCCATTATATGGTTGATATCGATCTCTATTCGACCTTGGTTCTCGGTCAATATCCCTCTTGATTCTATCGACGGGTCTGATAGGATGAACGGACCCAGAAGGAGCCCCAAGCTGATCGTCCTCGACTCCGATCTTCGATTGATAACGATTGTGCACATCGTCCCAAGTGACAGCTGGGTATTCTATCAAATTCTGCTTCAACTGTTGTGAAGCCACTGAACTTCGAACGTTGAGACCTTGAGTGAAGGCTTGAACAGCTCAATCGTTAGCGACCGGTGGCAAGTCCATCCATTCCATTTGAAATCAAGACACGAAATCTCTGAGCATTTCGTTGTCCTTCTGCCTCACCTTGAAAAGTTCCGACTTTCTGGTTTCGACCTTGATGCCCCGGCGTGTGCATTTACAAAAGAATCTGCAAGCATAGCAAATATGTCAATAGAATTAGGTGGTAAATTATGGTACCATATCATAGCTCCCTTCGATAGGGACTCCCCGAATTTCTTCAGCAAAACGGATTCGATCTCGTCATCTTCTGGATCATTCCCTTTGATAGCACACGTGTTGGAGGTGACGTGCTCGTTTGGATCAGTCGTTCCATTATACTTAGGAATCTCGGGCATGCGGAATTTCTTGGGGATTGGCTTCGGAGCTGCACTAGGGGGGAAAGATTTTTGTACGAACTTTTTAGAATCCAGTCCTTTCAATATTGGTGGTGCCCCCCGGATTTGGTCGACCTTGGAATTATAAGTTTCCATCTTCTTGTCGTTTGCCTCGATCTTCTTTTCCCCTGACTCAATTCGCTTTGTCAGTTCTTCGAGCATCTTCATGATCGCAGAGTTGTTCTCCGATCGATTTTCTTGAAACCGATACGACCCTATGTACAACTTCCTGGGACGGCTCGGGCGGGACTATGCTCGGTGTGTGATACTGGGTTTGGAGCTAGGCTATTGCTGCCTGTTGAGCCTGCAACATTTCGAAGATCACCCGCAGGCTGATCCCGCCATCTTCACCACCACGTGCGCTTTGAGCTGTTTATCGGGCATCCCCCCGGACGCTGCCTTCGGGATCGACGGCCAAATTTTCGTTGATGGCTACATGTGAACTGACATCGATTAGATCTACGGCCGGAACTCCGTCGAGGCCAACCGAAGGTACATTGTTCCCTGGTGTTATGTTATCATTTCGCCGTGGTGGCCGAGATCATTGTAAAATAGTGTGTTACGAAAGTTTGTACCAGGTAACCATTATTATCCTTAGCACCACAGTGGGCACCAAATTGTTTACCTTAAAATCGGATAACAATTGAATTTATACGCGGTTTTAAGGACACGTGATATAACTTGGTACAAATTAAGAAGAATAAATTAGTACTGAAATTGACGATAAAAGAATAAATGCAAACCACACAAATTGAATAGCATTGTCCCTCGAGTTCAGTCACCCTTGAACCAAAAGATGATTCAACTGGCTTATGAACATAATAACAAGATAATGAAAGCTAGAAAATGACAGTATATTGCTTTGTATTGCGTGAATATGATGTCGTTTACAAATAATTAGACCCCCTTTATATAGTAGGGGAGTCCTACTCTTGACACAATTCTATATGAGGTAAGAAATCTCATGATTGGCCTCTTATTGATACGTGCCGGAATTTTCGCCGTGATCCTCGTTATTACGGATATTTTGGCTTTCCGTTATTTGGCTCGGTAAGCTTTCCTTGATCTTGGTCAATCTCAATCTTGATCGGTCTCTGGGTCACGAGCTCGACAATCTAACTTTGCATCATGGATGGCCTGTCATGTTTCAGTCTCGATTAGCCATAAAAAAGGGCAAGCCCGATTTTGACCGTATACACAAAGCAACAACGAATATGCAGTTTGATATTAGTAAAAGTTTACCACACAGAGATGTATATGTCCGATGACACACTGTTTCTTTCCCTGGTTAGAAAAAAAATTACTGCACTTCATCATCTATTGAAAGAGACAATTAAATAAATAAAAATGCGCTCTCTCTCTAATAACTTAAGCTTTTAGAGGAGATGACCACACACTTTCACATGGTATCGGAGCAGACAAAGATCTTGAGTTCGAGTATCACCGCCACCCATTATAAAACATGAATTTCTACATGCATGGCCAATGAAAAAAAAAGCCTACATAGTGAAGGGGTGTAATGATAAACGATGCATAAACAATAAACATGCACAAAAGAATTTATTTAATTTATATATACTAACACTATTATTTTCATACAATCAGTATATATTAACTTATTATAGCAGGTCAATTATTATATTTATCAGATGAATGTTTATCATAAATATTTACATTTAATTACTGTATGAATTTCTAATTATGAACCCATAAAAACAAACTAAGCATAAAATACCAATAATGTTGGCGGAATGTGGAATGTTTAGAACACGCTTAAAAGGAAGAATCTTTCATGCTGGTCCAAAAAAAGCAACTTGACGAAATATCGTAGTGTTTGGCCCCCAATCTCTGTTTCCAACTTTCCATGCTATGTTCTCTCTTTACACTCCTGTTACTAGTACACTATCACATCGTTTTCCTAAGCTGTAGGCTTTACTAGTACTAAATTTTGAGCAATCTACACTAAACACAATACCAGTTGAGTGAAATATTTGTTTAGGAACGAAGAAAAGATACTTGATGGAGGAACTAGGACGTCGAGGACAGAAAGCAAATTAAGTTCTTTTTTTTTTCCCAAGAATATATCAGAAGCAACTTGGGCCTTTAAGGGACTATGTAACAACTAAATCATAGTGAAAATAAATGGGTGACATGGGAATAGAAAAACAAAAAAACATAATTACTAAAACACCGAATGATTGGAACTTTTTATTAGTATAGGTAATGACGAAAAGAAGGCGTATGGTACAATCTATTATGAGCGTCAAGCTCTAAATTCCAATTAGACAGCATGATATGATAACCCCTCTCCTTCACAACCAAAGGACAAACGGAGAGACTCCGTCAGAGGAAGTTGCACTATCTGTTTGCTTACCTTATATCGTAATCACTACTGCTCAGGAGTAGATGTCGGAGTTCTTTTCCCAGGTTTGTAGACGCTGAACTCCCCAAAGTCTCTTCTACCACTGGCAAAAATATGTGCCACATCAGTGCCTTTCAACATAGAAAAAGTAGCTGTCACTAAAGAGATTATTCACTTCTCATTTATCCGAAATCTAAGACTAACACAAATTACTTCAACAAACTAAAGTTGCATATCTGTACAATCTGTGGATCTAAACCACCAAGAATCCTGATTTAAGATGCAGCAGACAAGATATATCACACAGCATTGGTACCTTCCATTATAAGGAACGGAAAGAAAAATAGATAAGAGAATGGAGCTAGTCCTCGAAAAATAGATAAGAGAATGGAGAGGTAATATTTCAGTCAGGCCAAATATTTACTTTTCCCCAAGATGACAATACTCAACCAGTTTTATCTGCTGATGCATATTTAAGCTTGGCACATGTTGCTGGGACTGATTTTTGTTCTGTAATGTGTTCTTTTAGTATATGTCCTAATAATGCTTTATTAGCAGACATTCATACTCAGGTACATTTGTTTCAAATGTTGAAAATTTTGTTTTAAAAAATTGTTTTCATTTTTTTTTGGCGAAAACTAGTTTTTAACCAAACACCAAGACAATTAAAAATTACTCTTACTTCAAAGTTTCTTATTTTTGCACTGATAAAAAAACTGAAAATACTTTTATTTCTTAGTGTTTGGTTGACAAACAGTACAAAATTAACCTCTCATCTTGTGGGGGTGTCTCAAAGCTAAAATGCTTAGATATTAAAATGAAAGGTCAAACTAGATGCTACACAATAGGAATTATGACAATAGCCTTGGGCCCAACATTGACATAACTTCTAACGCTGCCTATTAGATCATCAATATCATTTTACATCGAAGTATAGAATCTTATTTCACTTGAAAATATCAAACATTTTACAGAGATCACAGAATATCGAAATGCTTTTAAATGGATTCCTCACCTGTGCATTATATCCCAGCCACCAGGTAAGAAGCGTGGATGAACAGCTTCAACAAAAACTTGTCTCCATCGCTGACAAAATTGACTAATTCCTTCATCCCCATGCTCCTTGAGTATATGATTAACAACTTGCTTCCCATGTGGTCCATGCCCTAATAGCGAGAGCTTCGAGTTTCTGGATGATGCATTAGTATTCATATTATCAACAGAATTGGCCATTCCATTAGATACATTGCAGCTTTCATCATCACAGGAATCCGGAAGAACATCATCATGTTTCACTAGGGATTCTCTTCCGTGCGGGAAATCATTTTTACGAATAACAGAGTACTCACTATTGACCCCAAAATTCGGGTATGAAGAGTGATTGCTAACATTATTGTCCTCTACTGTTAAAACATTGGTACTTTCTTCACAATTGCTCGAGTTATCTGAGACTTCCTCTGGCAGAGATGTCCCTTTTGCTTGCTTATTATCTAGCTCACCATCTGGTGTTATACTTCTATTAGAATCTTTGCAAGCTAATTTTCTCTGTTTCTCAAATCGCCTTCTCTCATTAGGACTCATCCCAATTAACATAGCTCTTTCCAGATCTTCATCAGAAATTTCCCGTCCACCATAATAATTCCTGATAATCTACAAAAAGACAGCGAAAGTTGTTCAAGTATTAACAATTTTTAATTATGTTACTCGGTGAAAAACTGAAAGGACTACTTAAATTAATGGAGAGAAAGTGGATGTTAGAAAGCAGATGATTAAGACAACTTGAAACATCAAAAGATAAAATGATAAATATGGAGAAATATGAAAGTGATAGCATGATGAAAAATTCAGCAAGTGCATCTAAAGCAATTAATTCAAATCAAACCAGTTATTATCAGAATCAAGGATGCAAATTCCAACGAAAGAGTTAAAGCTCCAAGGTGAAAGTACCAACAGAAACAGTAACTGAAGTGAAATATGAACACTAAGCAGAAAGTCAAACTGGCAATTTTACCTCTGGGTGTTAACTGTTAAGTCAAATTTCTCTGCTTAAAATTTAAATTGCTATAGCCTGCCTTTTATTATTAAATACATCTAGTTTCTTATCAGAAAATATATTCCATTTGAGGTGCTACATTCAGATATCCACCGGATGCTTAACCATAACTAATGGGCCTGGCTGCCAGGAAAAAAATATTAACGGTTCGAAGCAGTTTAAAGCAAAGCATCATTTAGAAAATTAAGCAATTGAAATAAATTTATTTATTAGCTAAAGGTACATGTATGTGCTAAACATGCTAACTTCCTACCATTATTAACTCTTCTCGACGCTTAGCTGGCATTCTAGATCCATGACGTAGCAATGCCATAGCTGCTGTACGCAACTGCAAAGGAGATACTCCTTCGTCCTTTACACTTAACTTTGGCACAGATGACTCTGATGTATTCTGATTTTGATTAGAATCAACTACTCGACGAACAAAAAGAGGTATTCCAAATTCTGTAGCTATCTTTCTCTTATACTTCTCAGCAGCAGCATGAGCAATTTCATGGCAGTCCACACAAAGAAGGACGATGTCATGAGAGCGATGGCTCTTTAAATGCTCAGGGAAGTGCATTCTATAGCATGAAGGTATGATTCGATAACGTAAATAGTGATTTCCTTCACCACAGCCAACACAAATATTTCTCTTACTTTGAATGTAAAAGTCATTACCCTCATCTTCAGGGCGACCTTTAGGCTCAAAAAGAAGCATTATAGCAGGAGGGTCCTCTTCAATAAGTTTCGCCAAATTTCGGTTGATATACCTGCAATCAAATTTCTGAGCCCAAATTACCTTAAATTGTAATCACTGAAGAAGACTGGAAAAAGATGATATTTCACTAACCATTCAAGTTTTCGACGATCACAATAACATAATAATCGTCCATCATTTGCGTAAATCCTACAATTATGGTAAACGGGGGCTTTGCACGAAAATTTTTGGACAAACAACTGCCGAGAAGCCTTCTTAGCAAATTGCTTGGAATTTTTCTGTCCATTTTGTTTGAAAGCTGATTTAACTGGCATCTTCAAGCTAGTTTTGGATAGTAGAGCATAGTTGTATACAGAAAGAGGACAACTCCCATCAGAGCCCAGGCATTTTTGAATAATTAACTTATAATCATCGTCATCCTTTCCTGTTTCATCTAAAAACAAGTACTTGAGGTCATCCAAGTGACTGCAAACTACGGGTGAAGGAGATTGAAATGAACTACTAATACTCGGAGAGTCTGGATTCTGATCGGCTTCAGATATGGTGTTGTATAAACCCATTTCTGTTATAGGAACTTTAGCAGCAAGCGCAGTAATGGCATGCTCAGATAAAACATATCTCAAGCTTTCATCATGTACACGAGCCTAGAAGGATGTAAATTAAATTAATTGAGCTCAAATAATGTAAAAAATCAAAAATCTGAAACTGGAATTCAAGAAAAAAGTGCACCCTATAAATGTTAAACCACAGCAAATGAAGATGGAAATCTTGAACAACTCAAGATGTTAATCTCCATATAATAAGAAAGACAAGGACCGGTTGAATTGGGATATCATTCAAGTTAGCTTATATGCTTTATGTTAAATTGTCTCCAGCGGCGCTTTTAACTTCATGCATCGAGGGGTTTCCACCAAAGTCCAAAGGGGTGTCAATTCAGGTAACTCATTTGTAGCAGTGTTGAAACTCATAAGATCAAATAGACAACACGGATTGGTAATTCTGATCGGGATATTGCAAAAAAGAGTCAAGTATAATGTGCAATTCTGAAATTAGTTTCTAATCATTTGAACCGAGAAAGCATTCGAAATGCATATATGGTAATCCTTCAATGTTAGGAGCTATTTAGATTGTACTTCGTTGTTATCTCTAAATGTTGAGCAAATGAAGCCATTGTATGGGTGTCGGGGGGCTACCATGGTGTGCGCTCCCCATTCTTTACCATGCGGTGCAGGATCAAATCTTACTTTTAGAAAGCCACTGTATGAGAACAAAAGATCACAATAAACAGCTGGAAAATCATTACTTATATTTCTACTCCAACGGGAGACCTTAGTGTCATCAAAAACGAAAAATGTTTCACCCAATATACTCGCAATTTACTCACATTACCAGCCAATTGGAGTAATCTTTAAAGTCTAAAAAAAACCTCTCAACTATCACCAGTCAGTCACAGACTTTTCCTTCTGGTGCCAAACTACCCAATATCCCGCTTATTGGGGAAAAGTGCACAAAAACTATCAGATTTGAACTCCTTCTATCCATCAGTAGTGGACCAGAAATGTTCAAAGATAAACAAAATATTGAACTTTTTCTTCATTTGAAAAAAATCTGTCACATGACTTTATGATGATAAAGAGATGACATTCTGATCCAAATTCCACTCACCATTATATCTCTCCAAGTGCACAATCTTCTCACGAGGTCATGAAACTAAAGCCAAAAAAGAAGTAATCAGCACTCAGAAGTCAAAGCTGTATAAAGAAAAAGAGTATACAGAGCATAGTACCTTCATCTCATCAGAACTTGACATGGAACTTCCTTGATCACTCTGATAACGAGAGATTATAGATGATGCAACAGACTCTCCTGGGTAAGCATCAGTCTCTTTTGAGAAAAGTTGTAAGCAAATTGCATTGGAACGCCGGTTGGCCTCAAGCACAGAGCTAAATTTGTCCTCTCTGAGACTTGATGAATTTTCTGTTACACAAATATTTCAGGATTTTGATACTTCAGATGAGTCAATTAGTTTAAAGATCACCAAATGCAGTAACAACAAGAACAACTACACCTCAGTCCAATCTAGTTTGGCCAGCTATCTGAAACATCACTACTCATTTTGATTTTGTTTGGCCCATTTCATTTCAATATATTCAAAAATTTGCGAATAGAAAATACTACTAGTTCTCTCCATTTTCTACAAATACACAAATCACTTAACAGACTGAAAAGACTAGTAGCCTTTGGAAATTAACACTAAAAGTTGATTCTTCATCTGCTAGACAACAAAAACCACGGAACCTCATCCGCCCTAATTTTACTACTACATAACAATCACCACTAGAATAATAGAAAAACAGCCATTCAACACAGTTATATCAAAGCTTTGTCATGTTTGCTAACAACTTTTGCAAATAAAACTTATAATTCTATGATCTTATTGTGAAGAACAAACTTCCCATTGGCATGATGTCCTGAGGGCAACCTCTTATGAACATTGGTAATAGAAATCTATTTCCAACAGAATTCTCCAGCACCACAACCCCTTAACAGAGAAACGGAGAAAATTATTACCCACTATCCTTCATCTCAGAGTATCAGGCATTGCAGATATTGCTAAGCCTTACCAAAATTCAAAAACGCATGCCACCCCAAACCATTAGGTCCTGCATAAAGGTTCAAATTGATGTGCTCTCTTCCATTTTATGAGACTCAACATGGACTTTTAAGGTATTACCTTAACTTGCACATTAAACAAGTTCGTAATGGAAGAAAGAATTAAACAGTTACAACATAAGTTTGATCAGGAAATATCAATACAACTTTAAATTGGTTAACTAAATAGATTTGAATTTTTGAACCTTGTGAAGTTTATATATACAGAAAAAAAATAGTGAAATGAGATTAAATATTTTGAGATGCCCCAAAAAAGAAAGAATGCTATATAATTGGAATGGTGGAACTACTTAAGCTCCTTCATATTTCATCACGCATTACGTTCACAAATTTAATTTAACTAGTTTCTCGACACGTGCGTTGCACGTGTATGCCGAGTCATGTAGTACATGAATTTTTAAAATAATATGAATATTATTATAATAAAAAACTTGAGTAAATGATTGTACATGAAAGAATAAAGTACAAATCCAAGCTCACTGAAATTTGCAAGCTTGGACACTTTAAAGTCAAGAATATTCTAATTTTGTGAAAAAATAAATCAATTATGAACCAACATCTAATAAATTAGAAGTATTAAGTAACACCAAAAAATATGTGAAATATACTACCTGTTTGTGACCAGTACCTCGATCAACATTGTGACTATAATATAAACTTGATTTTTAAATATAAAATATTTCTACAAAAACTTACATCAAAATATTTTTCTCTGTATGAAACTCACCCAAATTAATAAGATCAGACACTTAAAAATTGAGAATGTTCTAATTTTATAAAAAATGAGTCGAACTCTTATCCAATAAATCAAAAGTATTAACCAATGTCATTCAAACTGAAAATATTTAACTTTATCAAGAAATTGGGAGTGTTCAATCATTTTTAAGAGGTGTATGATCACTCCTACTAAGATATGGAAAAAATATGAAACTACCGGCTAGCAAATAAATCATATACTACTCTTATATTTCTATACAGTGTCAGGTAATAAATAAACTATGCGTTAGGGGTATTCTTTTCAATAGAATCGACACTAAAGAGAAAAGATAGAATATTTTAAAAGAAGAGAGACAATAGTAGTGCTCAGATAAATATTAACTTAGTGCTAAACAATAGTTTGTTGCTGACAAAGAAGAGAGTGAATATAACAAATTCGTAAATATAGTCTGACCGAAAAAGCATTTCCATTACTCATTTATTAACTTAAAAACTCGCTAAAATTACCATAAAACATTTGTCCTTAAACAAGGGCTCCAATTAAATAATATAAATAATCAAATTGGTCATTCTGATGTGTCTTTATGCTCACAAAGAGTAAGATGAGAACGTGTTCGTTGTACATAAAATTTTCAAAGTTGTCAGCGATTTTAGTTAACTTAAATTTAATGATTTTAAGTGATTCATGTACCTTAAAGGATAAAATTTAATATTCTTAACCTTGACTGCCAAGTACTATGTTTTATTTTTCATGATACAAGTAATTACACTAATAATATAATGAATATTAACTTTCTATCTTTCCCAAATCATGAAATTCTAGTCGCCCAAAATCTCAATCATCAATTATTAGTTTAACCCCATATATAACTTAGTCTACCCAAATAGTTAATTTATTTTTTCCTAAACCTACAGAATCAATAATATAAGATGAATTTTTTAAACACGTCAGAAGATGCAGGAGAAACCTGTCAAACTCTTGGTGATTTTCAATAATCCTCTTAACAAAATAACATAATTTATTAATATTTTCTCAATGAAAAAAAGAGTATCTTTGTTGGGGCAAATATTAAATGCACCTTATCGCTTTTCAATCAACTTATTGGGCGCGGCAATTCACTTGTTTGTCCAGTAAAATAGAAAACTGCATGAAAACATCATCTTACATCCGGTAATAATTGACAACTTCAAAAGTGAATGGAAGGACATTATAATGTAGAAAATAATATTAATTATTAATCTAACTTAAAAAGGAAGATAGATTTGAAAGGTTGTGACTATTAGTAATAGAGCACAAAACGTTGCTATTGGGAACGTTGAATTTTTTGTTTTTTATGAAGGGTAGTTAAGCTTTTAAGAAGGGTATATTAGTAATTCAACCTTTAAGTTAAGGGCTTCCTACTTTTATAATAATATAGATAGATGAATGTAAATATAACTCTTCATAAGTGAAAAAGGGCATGGATTCGATCACAATTACCAAATATTTTCTATGGTAACTCCCTACAAGGGTTTGACGGTATAGAAAAGTAGTTAAATAGTACCATACACTTCTCTCAGCTCAGCGACTCTCAATAAACTGTAATTTGTAGCAAGACAACAAGTTTGCACATGCGTATACTATGCTATAATTTACTCGACAATAGAGGATCTCAGCAAATCTCTCTAATCATAGAGATAATAAGTGTATACACTCACATATAAGTCAAGTGGGATGGAAGTAGAAGACTAATAATCATTCTGTTTGTTGAACTATAAGTGGAGAGTCATACCAGTATCCTGTTCTTTGAGTTCGGAAGAAAGACGATGCGCGATGTACAACAAATAGTGTGCATCAGTTCGAGCATATTGCACCATTTCAGCTGGTAGTGGACGTTGCCTCCAGTCTTCTCTCTAAAATTTTGATAAAGAATAGAACTGTAATTTAGATCAAGATCTTGCCAGCTGAACTATAAGAGAGGTGCACCAGCACTACGGTGTAGCATGTTGTTGTTTACATGCTGAAATCACCACATGTACCCGCTGAAAATCATGTTCATTGACTATAGGTAAGAACAGTGCCACGTATTCAAAGAGAAATAGCCAGAGTCTTGTATGCCTATTTAAATTGTCCGGTCTGATCATATACATTATAAATACAAATCTTGATTCACTAACAATCTTAAATATGAGATGGTAGCAAGCAAGGACAACATCATAATACAACAGCTTCACTTAATTTGCAGCTTTATCTAATAGCTCCATTATTTAAGGAATTCCTTACTTCAAGTGACCCTCTTAATAGTAGTCTTTATCAATTCAATATAAGAAAATCAAGATCAAAATAACATTTCGAGAGAGATAAACACAATGTAGAACCCACACATAGTTTTTTTTATTTTTATTATAAGGAACCCCCACATAGTTTTTATCATATTCCTTTAGGAAATTCTATGAGAATCTATCCCTTTTTTTAAGTAAGGAATCTATCACCTTTTTTTTAAGGAGGAGAGAATCTATCACCTTTTATGATATTCTTTTTTCTGTTTTTTCCACTTGATTTGCAGCAAGGGGAGCTATATTAAAAACTGAATTTGAGCAAAATGTGAGCTTTCTATGTAAATTGGTGTTTCATGAGCAAATGTTCAAGTGAAAATGTGGATAACCTCATCCTACGTTGTCCAATGGCAACTAGCTTGACCCGTGGAATTTTGAGATGGTTCTGGATGCTTGGCTGATGTAGGGCTTGGTGAATGAGGCACTCCCCAGCAGGAAATCCAAAAGAAAGAACAGAAGTCAGAGAGCTTGGGATGTTGCCCCACTAGCACTCATGTAGGTCTAGTGAAAGGAAAGAAATAAGAGAGCCTTTGATGGGACAGAGAACGATGATGTACATCTGAGGAATAGCCTGTTATTCCTAGTTTCTTTTAAGTGCACCCATAAGTTCCAACTTTATAGAAGATTGGGTGCTGTCACCTTCACTAAGTTCCGTCTTTTTTATAAAAAAAGATAAATAGAAACTGAGCATTTTATTCATCTCCAAGAAAAGGTACATTGAGCTGAGGGAGTCAAAATACGATATCTCCTCCCTAGTTCATCTTGTAAGATAGAATCAACTATCTTATAACATTTTGAAATGAGGTAAATGCATTTGGAAGGGGGAAGCAAGAACATTGTAAAAAAAGAAAATGAGGACTCCAACCTATACAATAAGGTCCTCTAATAGTTAGTACCCCTACACATGTACACAAAATGATGATCATGGTGGTTCAAAGGCTATGTTTGATTTCTTCAATTTGGACCTTCAAAGAACAGGCATATTCCACCTATCCATATTCATCAAACCTCTAACTTTTTTTGTAGAGGTTAGAGGTTCCGTTCAGAATCCAAAACCACCAAAAAAATTAAATCAATAATAATATAGATTTTTTTGTCGGTTGCACTTCCGTATCTCTTCGTCGTCTGTTGTGACCATGCTTTCTTTGAGCCAAGGGTCTATCGGAAACAACCTCTCTACCTTCACAAGGCAGGAGTAAGGTCTGCTTACACACTATCCTCCCCGGACCCCACTTGTGGGATTACACAGGGTATGTTGTTGTTGTCGTTGTAAATATTGATTTTTTTATAACCAAATATAGATTGTCTTAAAAGAAGAAAATCCATCCATCACAACTCACCAACGGAAAAGTTAGCAAACAGATACCTAGGGAGGAAAAGAAAGATTACGGGAAAGCAGAAGAATGTATCCCCAGCAAGCTTCTTTCTATACCTGTAATAGTTTATTTGCAACAATGCCACAGTACAAATCCAGCAAATACGCCAAAGACCTTTGTGGTTTAGACAACACATCACAAGCCTGGAATGTAACAAGAACAACAGTGGCTTAAATAAAAGTAAATAAGAAACATCATAGTCAACCATACACAAGAAAAATATGCTAGGCATATTCTTGCCCTTCTTAAGTAAAAATCTTCACTTAGATAAAAGAATATACATTAACATGATACCTTACCTTTGCAGTGTCAAATAAATTAACAACATAAATGTGGAAATCCCTTTGAAGCCAAAGAACATCATTATCAGCACCATGGAATACCTACAACAGCGGAAACAACTTATAGGAGTCATTTGGGGATGCAAATTATGAAATTAGCATACTACAAAATTTCTAACAACAACGTGGAGTTAGCTGCTTGCACATTATGCATCCAAATTAAAGTACGAAAGAAAATCACTGATTGGCGCGCAAATTAACAAGGTCACCTTGCAAATTCCTGGATTAGCAAATACGGGCCGAAGAATTCCCATTACATCATGCAAAGCTATGGTATCCACAAGATAATCTTCGCTTCCAGTTGATATCTGCTCAATACATGAAAAAGTTACGTTTACATAACAATAATATAAAATGAATTTCTGTAAAAAAACATTTTGAAAACCTGAATTAGAGCTGTGAAGCCGAGAAATGATCTCAAGCTATGCTGCTCTGTATCAACTGCAAACACTCTCTCCTTGCTCAAAACCTCCGCAAGCTCCCGTAATTGAGACTCACTCTCAACCCATACATACAATTCGCGCATCGTCAAATCTTCAAAATTTCTACCAAAAAGCTCCAAAAATTCAACATTTGAACTCTTCAACAACTCCGTAATCTCCGCCTTATACGGATGAAAATTTGTACAATCCTCTGTCACATACATTCCCAATCATTTAGCTAGGGTTTCAAAAAACAAAAATTGTAATTAAATAAATTGTATTTGTACCATTGCTGTTGACAAGCTTGAGGTGTTTGAATTGAGAATATGAGTTATCGGCAAAAACTCGTTTGAATGAAGATTGAGGTTTGATTTCTGCATTTAGATAACAGGAGTGTTTCTTTTGTTGCTTTTTCCTGTTGTGTTTTCGAACTTTCTGGAAGCTCTTTGCTATGAATATGGAAATGGCTACTGTGAGGCAAGTAGCTATAGTGAGCTTAACTGCAAGCTTCAAACTTTCCTTGTTCTCCATTTAACGATTCAATTTGATTCTCTGATTCTTCTTTCCCTTTTGTACATTGTTTTTTACTGTGCAATTTGAAATCTGTTATGAACAGGTCCTTCACCAATTATACTATTGGGCTGGTATTTGGGCCAGTTGTTAAAATGAGGAAATACCAATATGTGATGTGGGATCCGGGTTGAGAAAATCCATCAAAATATTAGGGTGCTGAAGGAAATGGAGGAGATATAAATAACAGGAGTGTGTGTAGTTGTTAGGCAAGCTAGAATTTGGTCTTTTCTTTTCCTTAGCTATTTTGTAATAGCAGTCTGGAACCTCCCTTTTCTTATTTTTCATTTTTTTTGTTCCATGAATCAGTTGTAATTCCTCAGTTTGGTTGAATATCACATTATATGTTCCTTTGATAAATATGGATACATTACATTGGTGCTCTCGTTGTCCCTCCTCTACCAACTGGGTGGCTTCTTTTCCACCTCCTCCATGCCCATTTTAACAACCATTTTTTCTGACTCTACTTCCGCCCCCGTGCCTCACTTTTCCACCTCCAGCTCCAAATAAATCACTACTGCACGACATGAGTTGCGACTCTATTATATTTGCTGAAATGATCGATGAGGAGACTAATATGGTTGTTCCAATTTCAGTACATATCAATTCAGACATGACTGCAACCCTGGTGTTCGATGAAATGCCTCATAGCCTCTCCAAGGTGTTTGCTGATCCACAAACCAAACAAAATCCCAGCCTATTAGAGTTTGAGCACTCTACTGTTGCTGTCATTTTGTCTGTTGAATCTGTAAAATATTTCGGATGCCGTCGTCATTTCCTCTGAGTTGAACTCTGGTTCGGACGATGACAAAATAGAGGAAGAAGATTTCGTGACGACAAGTTTTAATTCGCAGCCACTTGCGATTGTTACTTGGGACACAAAGCCAGAAATTGAGCGGCACGAATCTCTGTCCGTTGCCCCTATTTTCTCGGACCTTGAGAAATCTGGAGTTGCTTCCTCACTGTTCGATGAAATGCTCGACCATAGTGGAGCGTTTCCTTGTCGATAGAGCTAAAGCAGTCATTCATTAATCCACCCTCGACATACTTAGGAAAACGGCTGATCCAACTACAGAACAAATACAGACATAAACATCAAAAATACCGCACAGAGCGCCCGCTCTAAAAAGCTGCCCTCCAGCATTCGTCCTTCAAACTACCCATCAATCATCCAACACAACCAACTATTCATAAAAGAGAAATGAATTAAAGAAATCAGTGAATGAAATAAGGCGATAAAAAAAAAAAGAAAAGACCTAGGAACGAGCAAGGAGGATTGGTTTCCCCACCTTAAAGTACCGAGCATTTTAGGGGTCTAGCTCGCTGATATAAAAAAGCGGAAGATTCAATCCAGTCCCAAGCGTCCCTGGATTGAATCCTTAGTTAGAGAGAGGGGCTAAGCCTACGTAACGCTAATGGGAACAGCCTTTTTTGTCCGCTTTCAGCTATGCTATATAGATGGGCTACCGTGTGAAATAAAACATCATATGTAAGTAAGTAGCATCTAGAATAGAATCCAGAGCAGCTAAGAAAAAAAATCGAGTAGCTTGCNCAGATAAATCACTACTGCAGGACATGAGTTGCGACTCTATTATATTTGCTGAAATGATCGATGAGGAGACTAATATGGCTGTTCCAATTTCAGTACATATCAATTCAGACATGACTGCAACCCTGGTGTTCGACAAAATGCCTCATAGCCTCTCCAAGGTGTTTGCTGATCCACAAACCAAACAAAATCCCAGCCTATTAGAGTTTGAGCACTCTACTGCTGCTGTCATTTTGTCTGTTGAATCTGTAAATATTTCGGATGCCGTCGTCATTTCCTCTGAGTTGAACTCTGGTTCGGACGATGACAAAATAGAGGAAGACAAATTTTAATTCGCAGCCACTTGCGATTGTTACTTGGGACACAAAGCCAGAAATTGAGCGGCACGAATCTCTGTCCGTTGCCCCTATTTTCTCGGACCTTGAGAAATCTGGAGTTGCTTCCTCACTGTTCGATGAAATGCTCGACCATAGTGGAGCGTTTCCATATAGTCTAATCTCTGAAAAGGTGGCTGCTCAATATATGTTACTTCACTTTCCATTTGATCCTGGTTCAGTAGCTGGACGTGTGCTTGACAGTATAGAAATTGTGTTTGATAATAGTCTTCAGTTGAATCTTTCATGTATTACACCACTATCAATAATGGCATTGGGAGCAAAATCCATGCTTCCTACTGCAGGCCAGTTGTTAGACACAATGTCCCAACCGTGTGACCATTCCAAGATGTTCCTCCATGAGTTATCCGCTGCCAATATCCTTACCCCTATGGTTAAATATGAGAGGAAAAATGGAAACTCAAGCCCTACGGACAAGGTATTTGTTGAAAGCTTTCGACGAATTGACACCAAGTCGCCTTGGGGTAGTATTGAGACTATCGCGAACAGTGCAATAGGAGTTTGTGCTGGCCATACTGCTATTTGCATGAGCAAAGTTGCAGGAAAATTATGGGTCAGCGAATTTATACAGGAGCTTGACATGGAGTTTGGCTGTGTGGTTTTCGATACACTATTGGATTGGGTAATATCTGTAATATTTTATGATTATAATAGAGCTATTGCTTCATTTCCAGCTGATTTTGGACTACCCAATTGCAAGTGGGTAGATACTGGTCAAGTAAGTGATTCCTTTGATATCCGACAATGCAGCCAAATTGAGTTTCCAAGTAAGAAGTTGCCCGTTGCTCGAATACTTGTTGGGCATACTGCTATCTGCTTGAACCATTACTATATGTTTGCTATTTGTTGTTGTGTGGACAATTGGTTCGATAGTGGGCAGGGATATAAGGTTGATCCAAGGGGAATTGACATGGGTGGTCAAAACAGTGCTAATCCTACAAATTCTTGTGCATCTTACAGAATTCTGGATAGTTTTGTTTGGATGTTACTAGATGGTGGTCCTTCATGTGCGCTTTCTGATTTTGATCATGACGATGACCACAACATATTAACTAACTTGTTTGTTGCTGATGGCGGAGGGCTTCCCAGATTGCTAGTTGAAGACAAAGCAAGATATGCCTCTCGAATCCTCAGTTTATTTTTTCTTCAATCTGAATCTGAGATTCATCTGTTGATAACTCATAGAGACCGCAGTTCATGAGGACTAGAAGCACCAAAACCTGTGCTCCAACTTCTGGGAGATGTACACCCCTTAATACATGGTTTATGTCATAGGAAGCGCAGAGAAGCTTTAAGTCATGCTTGGTCTGCTATAGAATCATGCCTGCTAGACAACCTTTTCCACCCTCACTTTATTTGTCGTGAGATTGTTCTTGCACTTCGGTGCTTTACCTCATGTCATGCTGACATAATTGTGGTTGCTGAACTTTTTGAAGAGTTCTGTTCGTTACTGACTTATGCAGAGCCCTTGTGGACATTGCCTGCTGGAAAGCTTACTTTGGGCATCGCTATCTTGTCTATTGTGGCTGAACAATTACAGAAGGTTATGATAGTGATCAATATTTTTATTGTTGGATTTTGTGCAACTTATTTGAAACTGGTGCTGCTCAATGGCCTCTTTCCCAGTTATGGTTGCCATATCTAGCCCTGCCTTCTCAGAAGCTTTATCGTTTGCTGCTTTGCTCTTGGAAACATTACCAACGCTCGATATTGTTATTGACGTGGACTACATTCTAGGAGATATCCCAAGAGCCACAAGTTGCATGATGGGATATGGCAGCCCTTACCACAGACAAGTTGTCCATAGTGCTTTCTTTCTTATCTTTGCCATGAATGATCCCATTTTCGTCAACCGTTCCGGAGTTTATACCACCTGGTTTAGTAGAAAGTTGGGTCTTCCTAATTTCCTCCTTAGTGTCATTTTCTGTGTGTTGCTTTTACTACCTACAAGCTCAACAGGTTGGGGTTACTGTGTTTTGTGTAAATTGAGTGAAGATCAACAGTATCTTGTTGATTGGATGAGTTGCTGCTGTGGTGGAACTAATGAGGAAAATATGCAGAGTTATGGACAAGAGCTAAATTTCTTTGATACTTCTACATCACCTTGGAAATGGGCTTTCATGCAAGGTTTTACAATGCTCCTTCAGAACAGATATCAAAGGAAAACCATTTATATTCATACTACAGTATGCAAGGCTAAGGGAATGAATGTTGTGTGGGAAGAGCCTGTTGCTGTAAATGCTCCATTATTGAAGTTCTTCACTGTACTATTTCTCTTACAAGGATTAAAAGCATATGTTGGAGTCTTGTTGCTTCAAACTATCTTTACTGGTTTTACAAATGACGGACAGAAGCTTGCTTTGAATCTGGAAGACATAGGATATATGAATTTCACTGTAAGAGGCTTAATCTTGCCTTGTAGGCAAATTATTGCAGATGGTGCTTTGAGGCATCTTTGGAGTGAAATGAATTCTAGTGATCTATTTCCTATGCCCAATGAAGCAAAGACAATTCTTGAGGGCAAATTTCCTAGCTCGAACCTTGAGGACAAGGTTCTTATTGAGGGTGGGAGTATTATTATGAACAGGTCCTTTACCAATTATACTATTGGGCTGGTATTTGGGCCAGTTGTTAAAATGAGGAAATACCAATATGTGATGTGGGATCCGGGTTGAGAAAATCCATCAAAATATTAGGGTGCTGAAGGAAATGGAGGAGATATAAATAGCAGGAGTGTGTGTAGTTGTTAGGCAAGCTAGAACTTGGTCTTTTCTTTTCATTAGCTATTTTGTAATAGCAGTCTGGAACCTCCCTTTTCTTATTTTTCATTTTTTTGTTCCATGAATCAGTTGTAATTCCTCAGTTTGGTTGAATATCACATTATATGTTCCTTTGATAAATATGGATACATTACAAAATCCAAGTCTTATACTGGTTGTGGCGGCTTGTCTTCGTTTTAGAAAATGTTTTGGCGTGGGCTCTGGTTCAATCTCAAAACTCACTTTGGCCCAATATTAGGTCCTAACCCAAAGTTATGGGAGACTTTTGCACTAGGTAGTCACTTTTGTGACTCATATTCAAATGTAGCCACAATTTTAAAAATGTTGCAAACTTAGTCAAATAAGTTGTTTGCGCACGCATCATCTTCTTCTCTTCCTCCTTATTATTCTTCTTTTTGGTTTAAAGTTTGGTACAGATATTGGTTTGAAGTTGAGCTGCTTGGCGACAATACGATTACTAGTCTAAAGTTTGGCTGTGGCGGAAGTTGCATTAATTTTTATTTCTGACCATTGTGCAAATGGCTCATTCTAACAGTACTGAATTGTATACTTTGTGGATTAATAATGGAATTTTTACCTCCTATAGCAAAGATTCATACCTTATTTATTTTAAATAAATACTCTTTTAAAAAATTATATTCCATAGCTACCTTTTGATTTTTATAGCCAAATATCTATTTATGGTCACCTCCTACTCTTAAGCCATAAAATACGCCTTGTATTACTTTTCTCTCTCATTCTTTCAGATTTTTCTCCACCCTCTCTCTCTCAACTCCAGTCTTTCTCCCTGGATACAACCACACTTCTCCCAAATACAGATCAAAATAATTTTTGTGCTTTCTTCCTTTCTCCCTCCGATGCATATCGGGTCGAACTGAATCCGAAGTCCCCAACTCACCCATCTCTCTGAAAAATCCGATTTTCAAATTCCAATTTTAGGGCTCATCCATCATGCACTGCGGCAAATCAATGTTGTTTTCAAGGAATCCAGTGCATTGAACTTAGTGTTTCTTTTGCCCTAGTTTGTTTTGCATTTAATTTTTTTCCTTCTTTTTTTTTTTTGTTTAAAATGATTAAAGAAGTTATCTTTATTGATAGATTTGGTGGAGGAGAATTTTGAAGCATGACAACGGCAGCTAGACCTACATGGGCACCAGCTAAAGGTGGGAATGAACAAGGTGGAACTCGAATTTTTGGTCCATCTCAGAAACAGTGGCGTTTCGAGTCAGAATCGCGACCCTCTCGACGAGACGACATTAGGGTTGTTCTTGAACAAAGACGACGGAGTTTGGGGCTGAGCAATTGAATTTTCTTTTAATATATTTCAATGTATCTCGCTATATTTTCATGTATTTCATTGTCTTTTTTTCATTGTATTTCAATGTATCTCATTGTATTTCATGTATTTCATTGTATTCACTGTCTCTTTGTATTCCATGAATGTATTCATATATTTTTTAAATTAATATAATTATGTATTCAGATGTATATATGTGTTCAAATTGCTCTATTTTTGTTGTATTTATCGGCTAGGAAAATATTCAGCATATTTTCTCTGAAGATTGCTATGTTTTTGTGGTGTTTTCTGGTTGAGAATCTTTTTTATAACTGGAAATACAAATTTTGTGTGTTATAATTGAGTTTGTTGAGTTATATTAGGAGTCTATTATGTTAATTGATTCACTTTCCGTTTAAAAACAGCTGAATAGACCATGAATTGCGCTATTCCCGTTACTGTATTCACAAATACATATTGTGAATACAGTCGAATACAATAATCTGTATAGCTGTAATCCCCTGTTTCACGCCGTGAATACAGTCGAATACAAAAATCTGTCTAGCTGTAATTCCCTGTTTCACGCCTAGAAATGCTACTGTATTCATGAATACAGCAGCTTAAATACATCGAATACACTCTAAAAAACCTGAAAATATAGCTATAGGAAGTAATATAGTAAATGGTAGCTACAACTAGCTAATAACCACTAAAACATAATGGTTTCTGAAAGTTTCTCATTAATAATTTGGCCCGATGAATAGGCCCAAGCCCAAAGTTATTCAGTTTTCTCGAAGTTGGTTACTGATGATGCGTTCAAATTCTCGACACCCGCCTATGAACTTTCCTTAATGGCTTCTTTGGAGCAACCTATTGAAGAAAATGACACGATTTCAGTAGTTGCACAAGTCGATACGGTTATTGAAACAATGGAATCACAGAATTTGTCGATGGAGACTGCTGAGATTTATTTTCTTGCAAAAATTAAGAAAATGTTATTCACCTTATGGAAAAATGTTGTGGGGATTAAAACACATAATGAAGAGAATGTAACACAAAATCATCGTGGAGATCGAGTCGAACGAGTCAGGTTATATCACGTTTGGCCAGGAAATAATGTATGCTACTGCTTGTGTTCGATTATATTCACTTGACAAATATAGAGGAGTTGGTTTAATTTTATTTGTTCTAAATGTGCCTTTTCATTGTTGCAAGTCCAGGTATTTTTTCTCAAAGGGTTATTGATCTGTGGGCCAGATGCAAGAGGTTTGCTCATGACTATTGTCTCTATTTGTCTATCAAGTTGGGTTTTTGCTGTTTATGTTGCAAAGGATATATCAAAACATTACAGCATCATAGTCAGTTTCTGTGTGCTATTGACCTTAATTGTGAGTCACTAAACTAAACTTTGTACTCAATATAATCTATTAGGTTAATATTCTTCTTTTGTTCAACTGTTGTATGATATTTTTCTTTATATATATAACAGGTTCTTGCCAACTTAATAATGGTTAGCGTCATTGATCCTGGCATTATTCCGAGAAATAATGAATCACCAGCCACTGAGTCGACGAGAAATGGCAGAATTAGAAGCAAAAGAGTTGTCATAAATGAGGTGGAATTGAAATTGAAATATTGCCGTATTTGTAACATATTTCGTCCGCCTAGGAGTTGCCATTGCGTTATTTGTAACAATTGCGTTGAGAAATTTGACCACCATTGCCCTTGGATTGGTCAATGCATTGGACTGGTTTGTACAATTATAAAGAAAGCAATATTTCCTGAATTTGTGAAAGAAGATAGATTAATAACAACTAATTTTTTTATTTCGATTTGTGCAGAGGAATTATCGACTTTATGTATTGCTATTGCTTATGGCAACTGTTTACTTCGTCTACATATTTGCCTTCTCATGCCAAAAGATTCAACATAAGTACGCTGGCAATGGCATGGGATTGATTGGTTTGGTAAAAGATTGTCCTGAGACATTGGCATTGACATGTTTCAGTTTTGCTGCTGCGATTTTTGTTGGGGGATTGACTAGTTACCATGTGTATCTGATTGCTACAAATCAGGTTAGTTTCAGCTTCATATACCAATATCAAATAAATTTTTCCTACTAGAATATTTCAAATTTTCAATGGTGCATGCGGAATCTAACAAATAGAACTTTGATGACGCTAAATCAGACGGAAAAAAAAAAGATGTTAAATTATGCATAATATTTATTATTGTTTGATCAACCGACCTACATATATGATTTATCACTAATATAAAATGACAATAATTTTTTTTGAGAGAATAGTCTCCCCTTAACAAAACTCTCTAAAAGACTATATTATGAATGTTGTTGTTGTGAGAAGAAAACTTAAATTTATAGAAGTACGAAACTTCTCCCACTAGAAAAGGATAAGACATATATATGAAGAAAGTTTATTCCTTTTAGGAGTCCCTTTTCCCTTCCTTCAAGAAAGATTGTCCTAATAGATTAGAAATTCAAAGCAAAACACTAACATTGCGTACAATGCACGAGTTCAAATCTTAATAGTCTCATGGTTACTGTTGTTCAATGGGACATTCTCTATATGTTACTTGAATTTAACTTCTATTGGGTCCTTAAAAAATAACTACATGTAACCGTCCAACAAAGTAGGATTAGTAGCCTAAGAATAAGACATATTATCTGTTACAATACGGTAAAATACATTGATTATATGAAATCTTTATAGTGTCACTGTATGTATAAGTTCAATCATTCTCCAGAGTTTAAAGTCTATGTAAAGAAAATTAATTTCCTTTTTTTGTTTTTTGTTTTTTTTGTCGCAGACAGCTTATGAGAATTTTAGGCAGCTGTACGGAAGCACTAAAAATCCCTTTGACAAAGGAGTTGTGAATAATATTAAGGAGATTTTACTTTCACCTTGGACGCCTTCAAGGATCAATTTTCGTTCAGAAATATGTAGCTTTGATCATTTGGAACATGTCACAGAACCTTGATATATATTATTTCTTACTTATTTAATGTCACAGGATTGCATTTTTATAACCTTCATTTTTATAGCTTTTATTACCTTAATATAAGTATTGTTTCATTGTCTTTCGGACCCAAAAAAAAATTGATATTATGTGAGAATGAGTATTTACTCATCTTGTTTTCTCACATTATAGGCTGCAGTTACTAATTTTAGACATATTTCTGTCGCTTAAAACTTCCATATGTTTTTGCTTTAACTTAATTTTTTTTTCCAATTCTGATCTGATTGTTTCTTTTTGTACACTTTTGTTCCTTTGATGAGAAAATACCCATGTTGCATCACATGAATCTTGGCTGTATAGTGTAGACCATAGGCAGCCAGATAATATATAGTCATAGGTAGACCACCTTAATCACCACCTTCCATCACATGATTCTTGGGTAATATAATTGGACCAGCTGAAGTTTTTTTTTTTCTTTTTTCTTTTTGGTGTGATTCATTTCCTCGCTACAATTCACCAAACATATATTAATTAGTGGACCTGTTAATGTACCAACTCCATTCATAATCCAAAGTAGTAAATTGCGTACAACTGAACATCAATTGATTAAAGCTTATTCTATGTAAATTACTTGAGATTTAATTTTTTCTACATGTATCATTAATCTCAGGAGTGAAACAATATCTTCTGGTAGACATCCTATAAAATTGGAAAGATATAGAGAATATTAGCATAACTCTCTGTGCAAAAAAAAACCGTCAAATTAAGAAGATGCGTGAAATTGTCAGTACTAGATGATTACATAAATCGTATAATATGCATTTATTGATTTGTTGTGAACACTTATGAAGGAAAATTTTTAACATCGGTTCCTATTTTTATCATACACATCTCTTTCCCTTCCAAAATACAAGTACTCCCAAAAGATGATCTTATTGGATCGATCGAGTTGACTCTTGATAACTTTATCAACCAATATATTGGTATCATTTGTTTATTAATATAAAAACTAACTTATATATAAATATATATATATTCTTTCATTTTACTCATCCTTCTTACCTTGATGAGAAATATGGGAAACTCCAAGTCAAATATGATACGTGTACAATGTATATATATTGGAATAGACCAACTCTTTCACCATACTTTGATGAAAAAATATATATAGAGAATTACTCCAATTTAATGTACAATGTATATTGAAATAGCGCTTTCAATAGCAGATGGGAGCACATGCAGAAAGCAGCCACCATGCCAAGAATTTAGGTGGTATAAATGGCAGCATGGCCCAAAACCAAAATAGTAAGTAGTAATTGAAAGATTATACTATATGAGATTATGGAGAGAGCTTCTACTTCAATAAAGTGACTTGCACATATTCCACCAGCAGAAGCAACGTATATCTTACATACAATTAATTCCTGACATTTTTTTTTCTTTTGCTTTTCTTTTTTGTCTGCAATGTCCATACTCCATATACGTACTGTTTAATTAATGTTCTCTATGGCCTTACAAAGTGAAAAAAAAAAAGTTGAAGGAAAAAAAAAATAAGGTATACTTTTCAAAACACTGTGACTCAAATTTACTTGTCTCACGGAAGCTACACTTGAACATATGAGTTTAATTTCTATATACAAACTTTTTGCACCATTACCTATAGCTAGTCGAGTAAATAATCTTCTATAACATGTTAAATTGACACAACTAAAAATATTTATTATACTGCAAGTGAAAATTAAATCCTATTTAGATTACATAAAAGTGAGTCATTGTTTCATAATTTATAGCATGAATTGACTCTTAATTAAATTTACTCCATTGGTTCCAAAATATTCTCCACTTGTTAGTTTTTCGAGAATCAAGTTAAATAAGCTTTGACCAATAATTTAAAGAAGGTTATTTCATTATTTTGAGACGAGGAAAAATGCATGTTGGATGTGCGAATACAAGCTCATAGTGGTAGCTAAAAATATTGGGAACCGACATATAAAATGTAAGGATATCCTAACTGTGTGAGGTCTTTTGAAAAAAACCGTGAGAGTTTGGCCCGAAGCGGATAATATCACACCATATTAAAAGTATCAGTAGGCTACTTTAGCCCAACAAACTAATATCAGAGCCAAGTTCAGCCGACAACAAATTGGTATCAAAACCCAGGTTCAGGAGGAACAAGTATGACAATGGCAAATTGATTAAACTGTGCAGACTTGACCCAAACGGACAATATCATACCATATTTAGAATATTCATGAGTTGTTTTAGCCCGACAATGCAATATATTGTTACTTTCTTGTAATTCATAAAATCTGAATATTAATTTCGAAAATCAATTAAGCTTGTCTGAAATAACTTCTAAAAATGAATAAAATTAACTCTTGATAAACAAGAAGCTCCAAAATTGTACAATAGAAATGTTAGATCTAAAAGGAGTACTGATTATTTCCCTTCCTCTACTTTTATCATTGATTACTAGTTCCCTCCTCTTGTCCATATGATACCTTCAGATTTCATGTGCTTTTTTTCCCTATTAAACCCTTTGCTTATGATGTCACATCATATTCCATGCACCATTATCATGAATAATAAGTACAAAAGCTCTCAAATAATTCTTCACACTACTTCATACAATTCACATGCATTGCATTTGTTTTTTCCCAAAGATTAGCATTTTAAAATTTGCCTTCCAACTAAATGTACGTGAAACTGTCCTTGAGATTAGAGATCTGAGTAGAAACAATAATAAATATAGGTTGCTTATTTTTTATAAATAAGCATAAACTATAACATACTCCAATGAAAATTTGAAAATATGAGAGTATTTTTTGAAATTCGAGAAAAATCCAAAATGCATTACAAGTACACCAGGATGATTAATTTAAGCCATGAATAATTGTAAAAACTGAATTCTTTTTGCCGACACCTGAGGAATCTGTTTCGTTCTAACCCTACCAACTGCGTGCTCTTTGCTGGTCAATTTTATCCAATTAAGTTTTTTATAATTGGTGTACGACTGAAAATTAACTAAATTAATGAGTATTTTGTTACTAACATTTAGGTGATGAGTCTTAGATATGCACGTTCCCGGGGTCTTTTTATCCCAAGAAGATACGTTTAACGGTTCTCTGCCATCAAAAATTGCATGTGACGGATAATAAAGTATCCTTCTATGCTTAATAAGAAGTCTCAAATTTGAATCTTAAAAATAAAATCAGTAGAGGAAGCGCTTTATTTTCAAAAAGTGGGATCTTCAATTTATTTTGGACTAATCAAATTCCAAAGCAGATACCAAACATCAGATAAAAAAAGAAAAAAAATTCTCTTATTTTAGTGGTTTTAGAAGTAGTTATGGATAGTAAGGGTAGAGCAATAGAATTGGGAATATTAGGATCTAACATATTTAATTTTGTGTGAATTCAGAAGTTAATATTTTTGCCTGTTTAGTGAATGCTTTTATATTAAAAAGATCACAAAATGTATTTTATCCATTTCATTCTATGTGAAGATATATGTAAGTTTGCGAATTTAAAGAACAAAAACATATATACTTTTGATATATAAGTTAAATATATGCAAAATATTAAACCAGATCTTACTGTTAACATGAGTTAAAGTAAAATGATAAGTATGTTTGTTTACCCTTAAAATTAGATAACAATTGAATTTATACGCGGTTTTAAGGATATGTGATTTCACTTGGCACAAGCTAATAAATATGAAAATTAACGTTAGAAATTAACAACAAAATAAAGCAAACCAATGTGACGAACAATTGTGACCCTCGAGCTAGATCGCCCTCAAACACCAGAGTATGCTAAAAAAGTATGAACTGAACAACAGAGCTCGAGAGAGCTTTAAGAGGGAAAATGTAGTATATTGATTGATTATCCATGAATATCATCATTACAAAATGATTAGGACCCTCTTTATATAGTAGAGGAATCCTATTTATGGTATAATTCTAATTACAGAAGCAAATCACGTGATAGGCTAAATAACGGCCCTGACTCGATACTTGCCGAGATTTCTGCCACGATCCTTGCCCGATCACGAATATCTCGACTTTCTGTTATTCGACGTAGCAGGCTCCCTTCGATCTCGTTCGATCTCTTTCTTGCTTCGGTCTCGATCACAACTGGTCTCGATCTTGATCGGTGCTTCGAATCCCGAGCTTGGTACCGCACCTCCATATCTCGGTCTGATATAACACGGGGCCGATCCTTGGCCTACCATCCTGGTCTCCATTAATTAATAAAATCGGGTGAGCCCAATTTCGACCGTATACAGATAGTTCCCTCGTTTTTGGAGTGCAACGACAAGAAACGAATTGAGTCTTCGGTCTTCCCCTCGGTTTATCATGGCATAAACATCATGACGTAAGCGGTAGAGGTGACTGGAATATCTCGTTGGTACAATTCTCTAGGCATTTAATATTTGTCAGTCGATGGTCGGCCACCACCTGTATTGAACCGTCGTCTTCAACCTATAAATGCATCTTTCTTCATCTTTCAAATTTACTTACAAATCTTTTCTCTCTAATTTCCAAAATCTTTGCCTTCTTCAGAGCTCTATATTTTCAGATCTCTAAATTTCCTTACTTGCTCTATCGCAAAACACCAAATATTCCAATCTCTCTTCTTCCTTGCTTAAAATGGCAACAACATCTAAAACCGTTCCGCGAAAAGAGACTGCTTCATCGTCACGGTCGGCCGGCGAAGAACCGGCGGCGGAGCCACGCCCTGAACAATTTTTCCCCGGAGGGTGTGTTCTCGATTCTGATTTCAAGGTTGAAAAGGCTTCCTCGGTGCCAGGCCGATGCAAGCCGGTATCGAGATATATATGTTCGTTAATTGTAAAACTTCTCTCCCAGGTTAAAAAAGATTGCAACTGGGGCAAAAAATACGTGGTGGTGCCTGCTCCAGAAGAGGCAATCACCACTCATGTGGAAGGGTTCTTAAGTGTTTACACTTACCCTTTCTCATTGGGTCCCTTGGATCCGACCATCGTAGATTTCTGCAAGA